GAGCAACATCCTTATTGCAACGACCGAATGGCTGTGCTCTAGTGAAGTGCAGCCTAATCAATCCACCGGGTGCATTTTAAGATAGGCTTCGATTTTACGCGCATGTGACCGCTGTCTAACTTGAACGTGCATGTTCTTATGGGCGATTTGAGGATCGCGAGTAGCTCAATATCCTTGAATGGATGTGCTTTCTCCAGTTAACAGCTCTTCTCTGCTTAATTTTAAAGAGAGTTCTAAACATGTTCTTGTTTTTTCAGCATGCCATGAAAGTTGTAGGCATCAGTGAGGAAATACAACTGGAAATCTTGAAGATCGTTTCTGCTGTACTGCACATCGGAAACATCACTTTCGTCGAGGAGAGGAACTTCGCCGCTATCGAAGCACCAGACTGTGGGTATAATTTTTCGCTTGCTTTAAGGGTCATCTCCGGAAAACCTTTATCTGAATTCAAAGAGAGTATTTAAAATTATTGCGTTTTTCAGTTTTGCAATTTCCCGCCTTTCTTCTTGGTCTTTCTACAGAAGCGATTCAGCAGAAGCTCACTGCACGAATGATGGAAAGCAAGTAAGAAAGGTTTTCGTGGCAGTTCTATTTCGGGTGATAATTCTCACACATGGACATCATTCATGGGCACTTTCACTTGAAAGTTTTATTGGTATTTTATTAGTATTTCAGCACAGTCCTGGTAGTAGCACTGCGCTAGAGGTGCCATCGTGTCCCAAGCGCTTAATGTAAAATTCGTACTTGGAGGAAGGAATTACTATGAAGAAGGGGAGGCCACGCCACACGTCGAAAGGCACACGCCACACGTCTCTTTTCGCTCCCACTTTGCGTTTCCTTGACGGATTTCTTCGCTTTTTTCGCCACTGGCTTACCTTTGAGCACCCCCCCCCCTCTAAGTCCGCTCTAGATCTTTCCGGAACCTATCGTAATCGCTGCCTTTATGCCATGTGCCTTGCTCTGTGGGTGTGTTCTTGAGATTTTCGTTAGATTTTTAAAGAGAGGAATTTTCAGATGGGGTACGAAAACGGAACGAATAGACGTCACCTTGAACGTGGAACAAGCGAACTACACTCGAGATGCGTGGGTGAAAGCGCTGCATTCACGACTCTTTGATTACCTAGGTAAGTGTTAGAGGTTCAGTCTTTGTATTGTTTGAGAAGTATGGTTGGGTATGGGACCTTATTAGGCAGCCGGCTCTTGACAACCGATGCAACTTTTGGGACACTTTGAGGTCAATTGGGTTCGCTGCCTTGCCGTCAGATTCGCTGTGTATGACAGCAGCAGGAGTGAACCAATCAGACTTCCTGGTCAACCATCGCTCCTCCTCTTGAATTACTTCATTTTTGCCACTACGGGTGTAAGGTACGGGGGCATTGAGGTAGGAGTATATTGAAAACCATGCGAACAACTTCATTTTGTTAAAAATGGTTGTGAGCGTGAGGTTGAGAGGAGATACGCTAGGGTGCAACAGTTTTCATTTTCCCCGACGTTACCGCACCTCCTAGACTCGGTCCTAGAGGATGCTCCCGTACCCTGCGATAGTGCCCATTTTTTTCTTCAATTCATGTTTCAGTGGCTGCTGTGAACGATGCTATAGAAGTTGCCGCTGACCAGGATACAGGTCTTTCTGTCGGAATTCTGGACATCTATGGTTTCGAAATCTTCGAAAACAACGGCTTCGAGCAATTCTGGTGATTTTTTATCGGACTTATCTCGGACTTTGTTGAATTTCCTCTTAAACAACGTTCCAGTATCAACTTTGTCAACGAGAAGCTGCAACAAATCTTTATCGAACTCACCCTCAAAGCCGAACAAGAGGAATATGTCCGTGAAAAGATTCGCTGGCAAGAAATCGAATACTTCAATAACAAAGTTGTTTGTGATCTAATCGAGGCAAAGCGACCACCTGGTAAGCAATTTTCAGTTCGATGTTTTAGGAAGAATGGGAGATCCCATATTGAAGACGCAGTAGTCGTATATGATACCCTTTTATTGGACTCCTTTGTCTCAGTAGCAGGATTCGAGGTAAAGATAGTCAAGCCTTGGCGGTATGCTCTCAGTAATAAGAAAAAAAGAATACGCTAAAGACGCTAATACTGGATAGTAGTAGCTCCTATTGAATTTGTGCATTCCACAAGTTCGTGGCGAAGGAACAGGGATGCTAGTAGAAAGGTCGTGAAATGGGAAAAGGGAAAGGAAATATCTCTAGCGTCTTTGCCCTTCGCCTTAAAGGTAGTGAACATGATGGCTGGAGCAGTCATTGCCCGTTACTGGTGGAAGGCGTACTCCTGACCACACTCCCCAGCGCTCTCCCAACAATGACGATCACTGACATGATCAGATAGCTTCGCTTTCCACCCACCGTGTTCACTGCCTTTAACTTCCCAATGGAATGAAGGCAGCTTAGGTGCTCTCCTCATATTAAGCCTCATGAGGTTTTGCACTTTATTCGCGTAGGTCCAATCTGCCCTTCCAGTTTTATTCTAAAACGATTGAAGGTTGGTTTTTCTTCCTGCAATGTTCCTTTGATTGTCCTTTTTCCAATCCTATTTTTGGACATGAATTTTGATAAACGACTGCAGAGCTCATTTTAAATGACAAACTTCAGGCATCATGTGCATATTGGACGATGTATGTGCACAAAATCATGGGCAATCTGAAGGAGTCGACGCCCAGTTGCTGAGCAGTCTCAACAAAACCTTCATTCAACATCCGCACTATCAAAGCGGAGCTGAATGCTTTTTGGTGAAACACTACGCGGGTGATGTGAGTGCAATCGTCTACGTAATAAGCAAACTGATTCCCACATATGACGCTCATAAGTCTGGGTTGAATAAACGCGATTTGCCGGTGCTGTGATTTCCTGGTTCTTGAAATTGAATTAAGCAGGTGACTGTTTAAGAAAACAATGAGAAAAATGAGAAAACAGCCATCAGTGATATGATATTGCATGTCGAGATTCATATAAGCTGATTAAATAATTTATTCGAGAAATCACTGTGAATTTTCTACGGCTATGAATTACAGTATAATAAATTTAGGTCGTCTACAATGTTGACGGGTTTTGTGATCGTAATCGAGATGTTCTTTATCCGGATCTTATTGTTCTGATGCAACAGAGCTCAAAGTATGTCGTATCTCATTTGCGTTTTTATGATCTTCATCCTAGAAAGGGTGCCCAGACGTAGCTCGAGAAGTTGCGG